CTGCCAATATTATTTCTTGCTATTTTTGGTTTGCATTATGTATATAAATTTGCAAATTCTGTAAACTATTTAGGTGTATTGGCTTCAAAGAAATAAATAAAACACTCCGATTGGTAGCTAGGTATTGCAGGTTTGTCATATATTGGAACCTAGCTCGAATAATTTAATTTATATCACTCTGATATAAAGACATCTGGATTTACAAAATCAAAGTTATTTGTGAAAAACAAAAATAAAGATGTGTTCGAATTCATCCGGTATATAGTTTGAATACTGCTGAGCGGTGCATCAAACAACAGCAACACGTATGTTCTATATGCGTCATTTTCAGAGAGCTTTCTCAACACACAAATTTCAGTGGAGGAGTATTACTAATAAAGGGGTGAGAGTGGGGGTAGGTGGAAGAGGGGGTCATGTATCGGTATTTTTTTCATTTGAAGGATGCTATAGTCCTGGTACTCGTTTTACAACGTAGCGCTACATCTGAACTACCTATAGTAGTAGAACTGGCTCGGTTCTACCAATCGGCCGGTCACGCCATGCCCTGTGCATGGACAACATTCTTATGCAATTACTGTACGTTTTTGTACTTTTTTGACACTGAATGTTTATATTTCAAATTATATTTTATATGTTTGCTTAGAGTCCTATGCCAGAAGGCGGTGGCTCCTGGGCCAATCTGGTGATAATGACCTCCAAATGATGTATGTCTTTAATTTCTTGTCTTGGACCGAACCAGTCGGGCATGAAATTGGTAGATAAATGCAGCTATTTGTGTCGTTTTCTCTGGAGTATAACACCCCTGTATCCCTGGTGTCAGCATCTTGGAGATCCGGTGCATCTTGACACTGTCCTTGATGAAACTCCATGGTGGGTGGGGAGCAGGGTTGCTGAATCTTTTCCTATCATCATGGCACTTCCACTATCTGGTTCATCTAGAAACGAAAAGAAGAGGCGTTTAGAGGATTTAGATCTGTCTACTAGAAATATGTCTTCCAACAGTGACTCCTGGGCTCGATTTGTAGTAATTGAAGCTGCAGACTTTCTTCCAATCAAGTTGAATCCCTTCGCGATTTCAAAGGCTATCTCCGGCATTTGCGGAGAAGTTAAAAATGTTACTCGTCTCCGTAGTGGCTCACTTCTTGTAGAGTGTGCACGGAGACAGCAATCTCTCAATCTGTTGTCAATCAAGACATTTGCCACTATTGAGGTTGCTGTGTCTGCGCACAGAACTTTGAACTCTTGCCGTGGCATTATCCGTGATAGAGCCCGTTGTCTCTCTGATATGTCAGAGGATGACATTGCATCAGAACTTGAAGATCAGGGGGTTTCTGCAGTGAAACGTTTCACGTTTAAGAACGAGGGCATTATTACGAAAACCAGCACCTACCTACTTACGTTTGCTGGTTCCTCCCTTCCTCAATCTTTTAAAGCAGGTTATTGTAACATCGGAGTGGATGTGTATGTCCCCAATCCACTCCGTTGTTATAAATGTCAACATTTCGGCCATGGATAACAATCTTGTCGAAACTGTATGCCATCGTTGTGGTGATCGCCATGAAGGTTCCGACTGTGAGAAAGATAAGTGTATAATTGTAGTGGCGCTCATTCAGCTTCATCCAGGCCCTGTCCCGGGTGGCAACGGGAATCACAGATAATGAAACCGAAATGTCAAAACAACATTTCATACCTCGATGCTAAAAAACTGTTGACGAGTCAAACTTCTCCTCAAACAAACCTGACCTACGCTGCTGCAGTTACTCGCTCTGTGGCAGTGTCCTCTACTGCGTGTCAAACTGACTTGACTTGGGTCAAGTCAGCAAAACCTTTGTCAGCTTCAGCCATTGAACCTACTGTCCCAGTCACGCAATCTACGTCTGGTTCTCAGACTGATCAAATTGATTCCAAGGCATCTTCACAACCATCTGCTTCGCAACCAGCCGTGGTTAAATCCAAAAAGAAGAATGGGAAAAAGATTAATAGGGATATACTACCTGTTGTCCCTTCACCTCCAGAGGTACCTCCTGCAAACTCATTTGGACCTCTCGATATGGAAGTTACTCTGTCGTCACAGGACAGGCGGAGCAGCCTATCCTCTTCACAATCACAAGTAAGATCACCAATTGAGCCGCCATGACTCATCTGTTTACTTTAATGCAACTTTAATTCACGCACGCCTATGTCAAAGGTGTGGAAAATGATACAAAGAATAAAGGGCAAAGGTTCTAAATCTACTGTTCACCATCTGAAGGGTGGTGAAAATTTATTAACTAATAAAACTGACATTGCTAATAAACTTGGTGAAACTCTCGCCAAGCATTCATCTTCATCAAATTATGTCCCTGAGTTTCAAAAGTTTCAGAAACAACAGGATAAGAAAAGATTCAATTTTAACTCAGCAATGGTGAAGACTATAACGAATTATTTTCGTTACATGAGCTCCATACTGCCCTTGAGCAAGCTCATGATACTAACTATATTTGATATGATAAATATATTTTGATAAATATATTTGATATGATATGGACTTCAGGGAATTTCCCAACTTCGTGGCGTAATGCCATTGTAGTCCCTATTCCAAAGCCTCGCCGGGATCATACTGATCCATCTAATTACAGACCAATCTCTTTAACGAGTTGTATCTGTAAAACCATGGAACGAATGGTAAACAATAGATTAACATGGCATCTTGAAACCAATAACCTTATAACCAATATTCAGTGTGGTTTCAGGAAAAATCGTAGTACCATTGATCATTTGGTACGACTAGAATCCTTTGTTAAAAATGCAATAGTAAATACACATGCCGTATCGATATTCTTTGACCTTGAGAAAGCGTACGATACCACCTGGAAGCATGTCATTTTGAAGGATTTACATGATTTTGGTTTGAGAGGCCGTTTGCCTCTTTTTATATCACAGTTTTTAAAAGAAAGGCAATTTTAAGTCCGAGTGGGTTCAACCCTGTCTGATCATTACAATCAGGATCAGGGTGTCCCTCAAGGCAGTATTTTGTCTGTCACTATATTTAGTATCAAGATGAACAGTTTATCAAAGGTTTTAAACGATTCAATCGATGAATCACTTTTTGTGGATGATTTTAATATTTCTTGTTGTGGTAAAAATATGCATACTATTGAACGGCAATTGCAGTTGTGTTTAAATAAAATAACTAAATGGTGTCTTGAAAACGGCTTTAAATTCTCCAAGTCTTAAACTAATTGTCTAGGCTTTTGGTAGAAAATATACACCGCATAAAGACCCGGAACTATCTTTAAATGGCACCCCAATCAATGTTGTCAAGGGGCCAAGTTCTTGGGTATAATTTTCGACTCTCATTTAACGTTTCTGCCGCATATTAAATCCCTTAAAGCTAAATGCCGGATGGCACTCGATTCGTTGAAAGTTGTTTCCAACTCAAAGTGGGGAGGGGATCAAACTACCCTCCTCCACCTATATCGATCATTGGTCCGCTCGAAACTTGAGCAAAAGCAACCTAAAACTACTTGATTCTGTCAATCACCAAGGCCTGAGACTTTGTCTTGGGTCCTTTAGAACCTCTCCTATTGAAAGTCTCTATGTTGAGGCTGATGAGCCATCCCTCAACCAACGTCGAATTAAATTATCATTACAGTATATAACAAAACTCTATTCTAACGAGTCTAATCCTGCATTTAACTCTGTTTTCAATCTTCTTTATGAGGATTTATACTACAAAAAGTCTTCTCTTGTTCCGCCTCTTGGGCACAGAATTAAGCCATTCATTTCTGCTGCCGGCATTGAGTTGGAAAATATAGCTCCTTCCCGTCTTCTTTCTTCTCCTCCTTGGCAACTGGTGAGGCCTGAAGTTGACCTCACTCTGACAAAGTTTAAGAAATCTGAAACTGTTGAATTGCAATACAAACAAAAATATAATCAATTAAAAAATACATATAATACATACAAATCCTTATTTACAGATGGGTCCAAGGATGGTGGCGCGGTGGTATGTGCCACTGTCATTGGATCCCGAACAATATCTTCTCGACTACCAAACAACAGCTCTATTTTCACAGCAGAAGCTAAGGCCATATTAACAGCTCTTCACTATATTAATAAACGACGTAAATATAAACAATACATAATAATTTCCGATTCTCTTTCGTGTCTTCAGGCTATTAAAAATATTTCTTGTAAACATCCACTTTTATTAGAAATTATTGAATTGTATAATGAGCTTGCTACTGGCCAATGCGACATCGTCTTTTGTTGGTTACCCAGCCACGTTGGCATTTCAGGGAACACAATGGCCGATCTTGCTGCAAAGGCAGCACTCAACAAATCTGTGACACCACTTCTTATTCCATACTCTGATTACAAAGCTAGCATTAGAACTTACATCCGTGATCTGATGCAGAAGAAGTGGGACACCCAAGTAGGTATTAATAAATTACATGAAATAAAACCCTATATTGGTTACACCTACTTGGGTTGTCAGTCCAGATTTGAAGAGGTCATCATGCGACGATGTCGTATTGGCCATACAAGGTACACTCACAAATATTTGTTAAAAGGTGAAGATCCTCCGTTTTGTATCCCTTGTGATGAGAGAGTCACAGTCAAGCATCTCCTGCTTGACTGTGTTGAATTCTCCATCATAGGGATAAATATTTCAATGTTAAAACTGTTAAGGATCTTTTTAATTCTGTTCATCTTCATTTAATTCTTGCTTTTTTAAAAGAAATTGATTTAATTAATGAATTTTGATAAATATGTTCTGTAGATAGATGTGTTTTAATGATTGGTAGTGTAGATTATCAGCTTAGATTGTTAGTGGCTGTATCCTCAAAGGGGGTTGAAGTAGCGTAAAATTATTGTCCTCCTGAGAGGGTACGTAAGTCCCAAAAACTTTCAAAGTAAAATTTTCACGTCCTGTGTTTTTAAACGTAGTATTCTTGTCATTTTAATTTGTGGCTAAATTTTCCTACAATCGCCAACAGCTGAAGGGATGGTGTAAATCCAGCTAGGGTCCATGCAGGTAGCAAAAGTAATGTAAGTCCCCATGGTTCCTAGTATGGTGATCTACCTTCAGTTGTTGGCGATCTATAGCCCGTTTTTATATTGTATTGTCTTCGTAAATAAAATAGTTTTACATGTTCATGCTAGTTTTAGACTCCATCTGTGATACTCTAGTTATTTTACAGTCCTTCGATGACTGATTATTTAGCAACTTTAATTTATTGTTTATGTAAAACATTTCTCGTCACTATATGGCTGAAATATTGCCGAGGTGACGTTAAATTCTAACTCACTCACTATTTTATGAAGCTTGATTGGAGAGAACATTAACTGATTTTTGAGGCACGTCGCATAATGGTTTCTTGAGATGTGTGTCGAAATTGGTAACTGTGCTGTTGTAACTTTGCACATTTATATAACTAGATAGTGAATCAGTGTATTACGTTCATCTTCCGGATAGGTATAGCATGATGGGTGCGTGGCAGGTATTCCAAAATTGATAACTGTGTTTTTATTCTTTCGCACATTTCATGGTGCATGAATTCAGACAACTTGAGCTGATTTTGTGGCACGTCGCACACAGCGCCTAGACAATAGTAGCATCTCTTAAAATGACCTAACAAGGTGCAGAATAAGTGTTTAATTTTCATATTCAGGCGAATTATAGCGTGATGGTTTCTTGACTTGTGTTCCAAATTTGGAAACTGTGTTTTTCCTTATTTCGCACATTTCATGGAGCATGAATTGAGACAATTTATTGGATTTTGAGGCACGTCGCACACAGCGCCTAGGCTGTACTAGTATCGCTTAAAACGACATTACAAGATAGAGAATAAGTGTATTATTGGCAAAATATAACAGCAGGGTGCCCTCACAACTTTCCTTGATGAATAAAACAAACTCATGCATCTAGATTCTGATCTTTTTATTAGACACACCTGAATATTATTTTGAATGACAGCAATTTTTATATCTTATGAGAGTTAGCAGTTCCTGGACACAGCAGTGAAGTGGATAAATCACAAGGTAGAGGAGTGTTTCACAGACATTCATGTTTAAAGATGTACGCTCTGTTTATTGACAAAGGGAGACCTTCAATATATACTATCCTTTGGAAATATTTTACAACTCACTCTATACAGTGGGAACTGTTTACACAGCCCTACACTGGTCTGGTAACATTTGTGAAAATATTGTCAACTATTGTGGGTTATTGCCTGCTTTCATTTCCGAATCCTGCAAGATTCCAGATAGAGAAGTGTGTTGAATAAGAGAACCAATCCTGACTAGGGTGATCCTAGTGTTCATTAAAGGAAGCAATGGACTGCATACATTAGGCTCCGAACAGAGTTACAACTGCATCTATTCAGCATGGCATCCGTTGTCAGTATAGGCAAGTGGGTTACAGTAGCCTGTCTTGGCAACCAATGTCAGTATAGGTGAAGGTTACAGTAGCTTGTCTTGGCATCTAATGTCAGTATAGGTGAGGGTTACAGTACATTGTCCTGGCAACCAATGTCAGTATGGGTGAGGGTTACAGCATCTTATCTTGGCATCCAATGTCAGTATAGGTGACGGTTACAGTAGCTTGTCTTGGCAACTAATGTCAGTATAGGTGAAGGTTACAGTAGCTTGTCTTGGCAACCAATGTCAGTAAAGGTGAGGATAACAGTAGCTTGTCTTGGCAACCAATGTCAGTATAGGTGAGGTTTACTATAGCTTGTCTTGGCAACCTATGTCAGTATAGGTGAGGGTTACAGTAGCTTGTCTTGGCAACCAATGTCAGTACAGGTGAGGGTTACAGTAGCTTATCTTGGCATCCAATGTCAGTAAAGGTGAGGGTTACAGCATCTTGTCTTGGCATCCAATGTCAGTAAAGGTAAGGGTTACTATAGCTTGTCTTGGCAACTAATGTCAGTATAGGTGAGGGTTACAGTAGCTTGTCTTGGCATCAAATGTCAGTATAGGTGAGGGTTACAGTGGCTTGTCTTGGCAACCAATGTCAGTATAGGTGAGGGTTACAGTAGCCTGTCTTGGCAACCAATGTCAGTATAGGTGAGGGTTACAGTGGCTTGTCTTGGCATCCAATGTAAGTAATGGTGAGGGTGAAAGTAGCTTGTCTTAACATCCAATGTCAGTATAGGTGAGGATTACTACATTTTGTCTTGGCATCCAGTGTCAGTACAGCAGAGGGTTACAGTAGCTTGTCTTGGCAACCAATGTCAGTATAGGCGAGGGTTACTGCATTTTGTCTTGGCATCCAATGTCTGTATAGGTGAGGGTTACTATAACTTGTCTTGGCAACCAATGTCAGTATAGGCGAGGGTTACTGCATTTTGTCTTGACATCCAATGTCAGTAAAGATGAGGGTCACTATATCTTGTCTTGGCAACCAATGTCAGTATAGGCGAGGGTTACAGTAGCCTGTCTTGGGAACCAATGTCAGTATAGTTGAGTGTTACAATAGCTTTTCTTGGCAACCAATGTCAGTGTAGGTGAGGGCTATAGTACCTTGTCCTGGCAACCAATGTCAGTATAGGTGAGGGTTACAGTAGCTTGTCTTGGCAACCAATGTCAGTATAGGTGAGGGTTACTATAGCTTGTCTTGGTATCCTTTGTCAGTATAGGTGAGGGTTACTACAGCTTGTCTTGGTATCCTTTGTCGGTATAGGCGAGGGTTACTATAGCTTGTCTTGGCATCCAAGAGATGTGTACTTAAGTGTGGCCAGTAAGATCACGCACCCACTGCTTTGCCTCGTTCTCCCCACTTGTCGGTGCACACAGACGTCTGAACATCTGCACTACTTGTCGTCTGCTCTCCTCAAACAAGGCCTAAATCCCGCCATGATGTAACCAGTACTGTTTGGCGTACTCATCCACATACAAGTGACTTTCGTTCAGTGAACGATCCAGCTCGGTGATACTCCTATCGACAACAGGAGCATTGTAGCTGTTGTTGCCATAATAGTCGTACATGTAAGTGACCACCATATCAGATATCTCCCCAATGGCTATACCATAGGCCGTTGCGGAACGTGTGCAACCATGTGGTACCTGATAGACTGGGTGGTGGCTTCAGGAAGGGGTGCGTAATATGCTTGATAAGCTGCTGTGTGCTCTTTATTTTCAAGCAGCTGAGCTGCGGTGCTTCCAATCTTAGCAGCAAATCGGTCAATGATTGTCCGAAACACCCTCAGTACAGGTTGTTGATGACATGTTCGCCACGTTGAGATGGCTTTTTCTTCTCATCCTCACTGGTCTTTGGGTCTTTGGGGCTGTTTGATTTTTTGCCCAAATCGTGGATCGGAATCCGAGCAGCAACTGCTTTTGTACCAGCTCTGGCCCCGGCTTTAGTCATGGCATTCACCACAACTTTTTCTGTAGTGCCCTTAAGAGCGAGTTTTTGACCCACTTTGAGGGCAGCAGTCCCAGCGGCATGTTCGGTACCACCTGTGAGAACATCCAGCACAAGACCCAAAGCGGCATTGGCTCCTTTCTCCTTCGCAAGGTCATAGTCCCCATGGCTTCGACCGTGTTCTTGACTGTAACCACGACTGGGATGAAGTCAAGCCAAACTGTCCATACACTCATGTTTGCTGTTACTTGTCTGAAAGAACAAAAAGGGAGTAATTATTGGAAGAACGTTTAAAGGGCTTCAATAAATGTGGTTCTACACAGCGTTTAGCAAAAACCTGGAAACGACACGCCAGAGGTCCCATGAAGATCCGGGTTGGAATTAATGTAGTGGTCTAGTTAGTGTAGTGGTTAAGGCGTTCGCTCGTCACGCCGAAAATCCAGGTTTGATACACCACATGACCCCATTTCTGGCGGGTTAAAACTAAACTCACTCACTTCTATGTAAGCTTTGTTAAAATTCAAAATACTGAAACGAAGATCGACTACTAACAACAAAAGCAATGAGAGTACATATCTACCTGATGGCAACTAAAGACATAAATTCAGTTGTCCCACAAAGGGAGGTCGTAAATCCTTCTCACTAAGATGTACACTACCTAAGCCTTTAGGGCCATTCGTTTTTGTTTTGTTTTGGGGGGGGGGTTCTTCATTTGAATTTAAGATAACGATCTTGAAATTTCAACATTATATCTCGAAATTTCAAGATCATTTTCATGAAATTTCAACTTCGTAGGTATCTAAAAACATAATATGTATCCGAAAAAACGAATGGCCCTAATAAGCTTCCGTACCAATGGGGATATGAGCGAACGCCTACCTTTTCTAGAAACCTCCCACCTGACTTTACGCAAGAAACTTTACCTGCAACTCCGTACACACTATCTTGAGTACTGAGCAGCGAGTGTCTCAGTGTTATTTGAGTTATAAGTGTTACACTTGTCCTTAACCTCAAACAACAACAACCCTCACCATCCTCCGTTCAGGATGTCTATAACTTATGTCCTTGTTACCCACTCTCAAGTGCGACCCGACAGTGCTATTGTCCTTACCTTTGTTGGGTCGCGTTCTTAACTAAAGTCAGGCCCGAAATGCTTGGAAAATGCTTATTGGCTTCAATATCAATATGGTGAATCTGACACAAGATAAAAGCACATACATGACACATGTACGACTCTACCTTGGATATTAAAGCTCAGATGATAAAATGCACTTGAGGGATGACTTCTCAGGAGGAAACTTTGACGTTTTAACAACATTCGTAAATAATCTAAGTACAAACTGTAGTTTTGAAATACAGACTATAAATATTCATATAGCCTCAACCAACTAAATTACATAAATGATTGTAAAAAGTTGGGTTTTTTTATGAACATCTCTATGTGAAAAAGATGGAACTCTTGTAGTAGTTATATCCAAACGAATTACGTAAAAAAGCCTTAATTGAAATCCTATTGATAATCTTGTTCACCCATAGAAGTTTCACTTCGTGTATGAGCATTGAACTGGCAACATGCGACTTGATATCTCTGCAGAACAATTAATTTCAAATTTATACCAGTAGTTCATACTGGAGAAACAAAGGGAGAAACCTCTCGTCAGCTATGACAGGGTTTACTTTAGAATATGTAAAGCCCTTAATTTGACATAGTCAGGTTTACAAAGTTGTAAACACATCAGTTACCTCAGGGGTCGTGTCAAAATCAAAACCAGATGAGAAATACAAACTGGATAGTTTTGATAAGGGTGTCATACGGGGTGCAGTTAATCAACTGTATGAACGTAAAATCCCACAGACGTGTGCTAAAATGCACGATGAGATCAAAAATACAATAAATGTCCTGTTTAATTCCGCTAGAGTCCTCCACCAGCTGTGATACTAACACTTGATATTTTGAGACAGTCCCTGACATGTACTGCCCTTGCATTACAAAACGCTGGTCATGATATTGTGAGTCACGCCGAATTCTGCCTGCCAGGTGGGTCACAGTATAGTTTGTTTCTTAGAAGTGTTTCTGCCATGGATTTTTCGATAATTTATGAGTAATCGTTATGATAAGGAAATAGTACACCGTGATCACTCATATGCCATATTAGGTCGTGGTGGTATGAATGACTATATATGACTTTTGAATCTGAAATATCAACCATTATCAAATAATTGCCAAAAAGCATTTTCCAAGCATTTCTGGCCTTACTTTTTTTCAAATACTGCACACTGCGTTGGCGGCTTCTCGGTAAAGTTATTTAAAATACAGGGAATCTGATTTTGTGGGAACTGTGTGTCCGGGTATGCTGTACTCCGCTCAGGATACTCTGCTGTTATATGTGTCATGGTTGAGTGAATCATCTTCTTGAAAGTGTCGGGCGGTGGGGTAGCCTTGTGGTTAAAGCGTTGGCTCGTCACGCCGAAGACCCGGGTTCGATTCCCCACATGGGTACAATGTGTTAAGCCCATTTCTGGTGTCCCCGCCGTGATATTGCTGGAATATTGCTAAAAGCGGCGTAAAACTAAAAACTCAGTCAGTCAGTCTTCTTGAAAGTGACTGCTAATTGAAGGGGCGTTGGATGGCTGGGTGGCTGGGTGGCTGGGTGGCTGGGTGGCTAGGTGCTGTCGCTCAATGCCTTCGCCGGGAGGTGGGGTAGTCTAGTGGTTAATGTGTTCGTCACGCCGAAGTCGTGTTCGATTCGCACATGGCTACAATGTGTAAAGCCCTTTTCTGGTGTCCCCTGTTGGAATATAGCTAAATGTCTCATTAATTTAAACGGACTTACTCACAATATCATGACCAATGACCCAATAATAGGTCTGTACATACCCCCAAACCTACCGCCTGATATTGCTGGAATATTGCTAAAAGCGGCGTAAAACCAAACTCACTCACTCAGTGCCTTCGCATGCACTTGACACATAAACACGCACCCGCACACACATTGCGCGCACGCACGCACGCACACATGCACACACACACGCGCAGTAGATTATAACAAGCGCACGCGTGTGTGCATGCATACACACACTAGTGTGAATACGTATCTGGAATGTGTGAGAAATATGTGTTTTACCTACAGTCAGAATGGTCCAGCGGTGTTGGCTACGTGTAACTGATCGATTCTAGGCCTTGTAAACCAGTGGTTGATAGAATCAAGTCCACTATCGAGATATGATAACACAATCAACTGGCAGCCCACGTTTGTGCCCTGTTACGGGTAAGGCGTAGTGGAGGAGCCCTGCAAAATAGAAAGCTGCATAATTCAATCACGCCTAATATGATGGTAAATTGAGCAGGTCTGCCGTCATTCACTCAACGAATCTTGTACTGAAAGAAACAAGTCCCAAATGGTCAAGTCATGACGGGCGGTGGGGTAGCCTAGTGGTTGAAGCGTTGGCTCGTCACACCGAAGACCCGGGTTCGATTCCCCACATGGGTACAATGTGTGAAGACCATTTCTTTTGCTGAAATATTGCTGAAAGCGGCGTAAAATTAAACTCACTCACTCGCTCATGACCCATGTCCCAATAATCGGTCTGTACATGTTCCAAAACCTACCGTCTGAACAATTTTTGAAGGGGATATAGGCCATCTTATTAAACCATTTATTAGTTTCGGATGTTGCTACTTATTTTCATTGCCAAAAGGTAAAAAAAAAAAAGTTATTGCAGTATATTTATGTCTGTCCTAGACGGGTCTGTACGATATGCAGAGGTGTACTGTTTCCGCCCTGTTTCCACCCATGAATTGTACTCTTCACTGGACACATGTATAAACAAGCCAATCATGACCCATGGGCCCAATAATTATAATACTGGAATTCAGAGACCTCATTATAGGGCCTGTAGACAGGAGACAGTAATAATGGCCCATTCATACATCATGAGTGAGTGAGTTTAGTTTTACGCCCTTTTTAGCAATATTTCAGCAATATCACGGCGGGCGACACAGCAAATGGGCTTCACACATTGTACTCAGGTGGGGAATCGAACCCGGATCCTCAGAGTAACGAGCGAACACTTTAACCACTAGGCTACCCCAACGCACCAAAGAGCAAAGAAGTCATTATAGGCCTATATAAACAGAGG